ATTAGTTTCAAAATATTAAAGTAACCTCTTACCGCACGATGATAAAGTCTCACGCCAGTCTGTGGGGTGTGATTCATTGTCGAGCTTTCCCTCTTAGCTCCCTTCGTTACAGGAGAGGCTCCACTGGTTGATGCATCTGCTCCACCATCTCTTTCGGGACTCCCAACCTCCCCATTTGCTTGACGCAGAGCCGCTACTTTGGCCATAGTTGCACTTATTGCTTCGGCTTCCGCTGCCGAAGCTTCTACCAATGATTCCACACCCTTCGATGTCCTGAAATTCAAGATTTAGATCCTACAGAAGGAAAACAATGTGGCGCTAGTCTTACCGATGATCAGCAACTGCATTTTCGGAACTTATGTCCATCGTCATATCGCCATTGACGGGGCCTGCCACAGGTTCTTCCATCACAACCGACCCGTCAGACGAAGGCGCTGGCTTCCCCTGTCCATCGGTTGCAGGCTTTGCAGCAGGTACAGACGCATTGGGAGCTGCAGTTGCGGCTATTGCCGCAGCTTGTAGCGCTGCCGGTGTTGTCTCTGCTGCTGCCAAATCCTCCGCAACCAATAGATCATCGAGAAGAACACCTGTAGTGTTTCCATGAAGAAGTTGTCCAAAAGAACGGTCCAAAAAATAGCTTACCTCCTCTGAGTCCACCGTACAAAAAAATCAGATCCCCGACCGCAGCTGCTGCATGGCGACAACGTCTTGTAAGCTCACTGGAAGCATCTCCACCAGCGGCATCAGCACTATAACGTCCAGTTCTAGGACTCGAGACAATAGATTTTCTATCACACCAAACTCCAGCTGCGGTATCTAAAACTGCAAAATTGCATTCATGTTAAATTCTATCTCAGACTAAAAGCAAATCCAAACCTGCAACACTAGATCCATCCTCAACCATCCGGCCACCACCTAAAGCGCCTCCCGAAACGTGCAAACGAGCATTTACAAAAACCTGAAATGGCGTTGTTACCAAAGGGCAAAAACTGCTCAAGTCAATCTTACTGCAGCGTGCTGATACCGAGGGGAAGGCGAAACACCAGGCGCAATAGCCCATTCCCACCTCCCATCCCGATGTTTGGCAAGACCAAACGCGTTAGCAATTGGCTGCCACAAAAAAACGGTAACACCTTGTATTCTTCTACCGTATTAACTTACCACACTACTGGCATCTCTTCCACCACAAAGCAGCAAAAGACCATCTGATCTCGCGCTAGCGGTAGCATACCTGCAAGGAAAGCCATTAACAAGAGAAACTAAAAACATAAAAAAGCTTCATTTACATGCATGGAGGAGGACCATCTCCTTCAGGTTCTAGCCTTCGCCATTCGTAAGGCTTGGCTGCCGTGTCTAAAGCCCACACGTCAGCCAAAGGTCGCTTGCCTGCAATTCGCATGTTTCAATGTTACCTCGACATAGCAGAAAAACCGCAAAGTTGCTTACCGTCGTTCCCTCCAATACAAAGGAGAAATCTCTGTCCTACTAGCGCCATAACGTGTCCGTACCGAGGACCGGGACCTGGGCCTTGGACAACCACCCTGGAACAAAACATCCACATCAGATATTGTGAAAAAAAATCTAAACGACTGATCGAAACCTGTGCCATCTGGGTCTTGCTTGTGTAAGGTCAAGAACATGAAGATCTTCACTAGAAACTCCAGCGGGCCCGATGCCACCCTGGAGTCACAAGCAAAAACT